TGGGCTGGTGGTGCTGCTGATATTGGTCATGCTGCTTCTGTTTCTCCTGCTGATCGAGTGCCTCTGCATTCATTTGGCAGAGCACGTAACGATCGCATTGCGGTGACTTCGAGATGTATCTGTAGGCGCGGTGGACTTTTAGCACCGGTTCAATAACCTGTTTGGCATTTGGTCCATTGTTGGATTCGATCGAGTGCGTGAGCCATGGAATAGAGGAGGAAATGGTGTGTAATTAATTTAATTTGATTAAGTTAGTATTCAGTGCAGATGCAGTTAAACAATTGTTTGATAGATATCTTCTTGGCTAATCTTCAAGCTCTATAAAGTCGAAACCATTTGAAATTATCAGATTCCTAAAACATTATCATAATCAAACTTAATAATAAATTTAAAAAAACTATTTTTTTTTAATTATTATTATAACAAACATTGTGAAAAACCAACATTTTAGGATATTGGACGATATAACTGTTCAAAACCCATACCATTACTTGAGATACCTAGAATAGCTATTTAATTATCGCTTTACTTTTCACCCCAGCTATTTCCTATTTACAGATAAAGAGCTTCAATTACAGACAAAGTAACCCATTCCCAGATCAGAGAATCAGAGAATCTGCTTACCTCCAGGTTAAGCGTATCCGTTAGCTTGTCGCTGATCTCGGTGGCATTGAACTGCAGTAATCCGCGTGCCTGGCCGAGTTTTAATAGCTCCTTGGCATAGCCCACTGCCGGCTTCACGTACTGCCTGGAATCGATCTTAACGTTCAGATGGTGCTTGGCCACATGGTCCAAAAGATTCGAGATGGTCTCGCCCGGACGGGAGGGATCGAAGTGGGTCTGCTTGGGGTAACCTTGAGACTTCAGCAGGCCGTTAAACATGATCTGTGCCGTCTGGAAGTACCTGTGGAGAAAGAGGGGAAAAGCGGACAATTGATGAGTCTCGATGACGCAGCACCGTCGAGTGAAAGGGTCGCTAGAAAGTGGAAGTTGTACGCTGTTGTTGCTGTCTAATGGAGGGGCAGCGCGAAAAAATAGAAGACCAAGAAGTCTGAGAAGCCAAAGCCTGACCTACTTTAAAGTCATGCAAAAATTTCTGATTCAGAGACGTACACTGAGAAAAAATTATTTTTTAGATTACCTTAACTTATAATTCTTATAATTCTCAAGTTTTTTTTGGATCTTTCCTACTTTCTTAACTGAAGTGGAAATATACATAATTGTTAAGAGTAATTAGTTATTCTGTTCAATGTAAGTAAAGATTCCAATGATTTTAAAATTTTCTTTCTATTTGATTACCATTTTTCAGACAAGTGTACCCAGCCTTCTCAAGCAATTTCCTCTGGCTGAAAATCGGGCAACCGGTTTTGGTCCGCTTTGTTTATTTGTTTGTTTTAACGATGCCGTTGACTTCTGTATCTTCTGCATATCAACTGTAACTGTATCAGAGCCTGGACATGGAACTTGGGTCTGTTGACCAGTTGGATTAGCAGGCACGTTCTAAAAGCACCAGCACCGAAAAAAGTGGGTCAAAAGGTAGCCGCATCGAACATGCTCGATGGGAAACGGGTTGTCGCTAACGGGAAATGGTTAGCACAGGCTTTGGGAGCAGCTGTTTGGTATCGGAATCGGATTTGGTATTGGACTTGGAGTTGGACTTGGACTTGGACTTGGTCCAAGAATCGCAGCCAGGTGCTAAATGCATTGGGACCGTTGCAGAGCAGAACGTGATCCACAATTAACACGCTTTTTGGATCGAGCCACGTATGTAAGCTGGCTGAAACTCACCTGAGATACACATCGGGATTGGCCAGGTAACTGGCCCAGTCGGCCAGGTAGAGTGTGGCCGACTTGATCCACCTCCGCCGGAAGGATTGGTTGTTCAGCGATTCGAACAGCTTGTCGTAGTCCAACTTGCCGTCGTTTCCCTTGAAGCCCTGAGGAGGAGATAAGTATAAAAGTTAGTATTACATATTTTAGGGACATGCTGGAATTAAGTTGGAAAAAGGCTGATAAAAAATATACTCCATTTCACATAATACTATCTTTAAGTCTAAAATCTGTTCGAAGGCTATTTAAAGTTTGTATCTAATTTGTTATTATTTTTTTGATTGCTTTGTTTTATTTTGCAACTCTTGGTTAGAAATGAAAGATCACTCTATTTAAGTAAAGATGTTCAAAACCATTATGGAAAATAATAGAAGAGAATCAAGAGTAACTGCATATATTTAAGTCCTAAGACAAAAGTTCCTTATGTCTATTCAATCTTATTTAGAGATCCACCTTCATGATCTTGTTGACTCCGGACTTCTCGTACAAGGCATCGGCCAGTTCCGAGTTGGAGAAGTGATCCCACAGCATGGATGTGTTCCAAGAATGGTGGCAGCACCCAGGCGTGGCTTTTGTGTTTCTCCTGGGTGCTCTGACCCTCGGGACCGGCGAAGGAGCTAACTGCCTGCATCACCAGGGGCAGAAGGTTCATCAGTCCGTTTCGTTTCCGGTTCCTCGCCGGCGGATCGTTTCTGGTGGTGATGTTGCCTTATCGTTGGATCCCTGGGTGTTCATGAAGGCCGAAGCCACCTGGAGGATGGTTCCAGGCCAATGCCAGATTCGAACCGCCGCCATTGGTGCGCCTTTGGTTTGGTGTCGATTCCTCATCATCACCTGGGTGAACATCTCCAGGACATTGCCAATGATGGAGGGATCAAAGCCGCCGCCCTGACCGCCACTTTTGGAAGGAGACTGCCCAAGCCCGAGAGGATTTGCATGGCTCCACCAGCGCCGCCGCCGCCACCAGCTCCGGATTGCCACTGGCCTGCATGAAGGTCCTAGCAGCGAGGCCACACCCGCCAACCAGCTCCTCCGCCACCGCCTCCTCCGTTGTTGTTGCCACCACCATTCTGGTTGGACAACGCCTCCTGGAAGAACATGGAGGCCATGTCCAGCAGCGGATTGGACTCATCCTCGCTGGCCAGTGAAGGACTTAGTGGCTGCAGCACAGAAGGCAGGCCAAGAGCAGGGCTCGTCTCACGTACATTATTCTTCAGGAACTTTCACAATCACACACTTAAGATACTTTTGGGCCAATTAAGCGACGCAGCCACAAAACGCGGAAGACGCTCCACTGAGCACACGGAATGGGTATATATCAACTGGAATTATGGGTATATGTATATCTACTGTGAGATATTACTAAGATCGGAGATCGCAGCGCAGAACAGCCAGCACAGCCGAAAACTTTCTTTCTTCTGCGAGACTGCGCCAGTTTGTAACACTTCTTAAGCCAGCGATTCTTGGGGCCTTCGAACATGTTCGTTGGCCCACGTTGGCTCTCTCGATCCCCCTTTCTTCGGATCCCCATCTCTCTCACCTGTTTCTACGGAGACTCTCTCGCGGAATTCTTTACGCCTGCGCTTTAAACACGTCAGGTTTACTTAGCTTTGCGTCCAGAAATAAACGAGACGGAGGAGAAAGAGCAGAACCGCTTTGCTTTCCACAGAAAAAATATAATTTTAACTTGATGTTCAAAGATTATAATAAATATCTCTCAGTTAAAGTTAGGTTAGTTTAAAATATACAAAACTATTGTTATAAGAACATCTTAAATTGAATACTTTGACTATTATATTATGGTTTATTTTAAATTTGTATTTAATATGTTATCATGAGAGGAAATTATTTGAATGAACGAACGTACTTCAAAGAAATATAGAAATTAACAATTGCTTTTTATATTATATTCACAAACCCCAAGTTGAATTACTTCAATATTCATTTCTATTGGAAAAAAAATTGCAATGAAGCATTATCTTTTTTTCTGTGTGCCCTGTTCTATGGCTCCGCACTTTGTTTATGTTTCCTACCTACCCACCTACTTTCTTTTTACACACGATCGTCCGCTTTGAAAGTTCTCTTCTCGGAATGGTGGTTGGTGGACATTGGAAGTCAGATTCGGAGCCAACGTTTTTGTTAATGCCGCCTGCTTGGGCTTTTTATGTAAATACGAGTATCAACAAGGCTTTGGGTCTCTTTCACCGGGTATGCCATAAAAGTTAAGATGTTGGCCACGTTAAAAAGATAGGAAATTTAAAAAAATTTAAGCAGATCTATGGTTTTCTTATTAAAATTCATACCTATACAGCAAATCCTTAAGTTAAAATCTTACTTGCTTATAATATTTTATTATTCTTTTGAAACTCTAATTTAAGCTCTTTGACGCACTAATATAAAAATAAAAAGTTTGAAAATTAACTTAATTTGATTTATTTGGAACGCCTACTCCATTAAAGATAATTTTTCAATCTGTAATATTTATTAAAAATAAAGTTACAAATGCTAATCTTAACCTGTTTTATAATAAAGGGTATTATCATTTCAATTACAAAATTCCACAATCTTTACGAGTTGCTGAAGCAAACCAATTGAATGCTTGGCACATTTGTCACCTGGACTGTTTGTGGGTTCGTTTTGGCCGTCGTCATGGCCCATTTTGATTTATTCAACAAATGGATTGCAGTGTGCCCGTTACATAAATTTATAATCCGTTTAATGGGTTCGTCATGCGAAGCTAAAGAGGTGTATCGCTCTTTCCAGTTCTATAATTTCTTTATGGTCTTCTAAATCTCAACCGAGATGACCTTTCCCCACAAGTTATTACCATACTCGATATTCAAGTAAATTATGGAAATGATTAACCGCACCATTCACTTTAATTTCTTTTACATGCTCAAAATGTAATTTGATTTCACTTGGGTATACAAATACGCGGGTTCGTTTTAAATTGTATTTTTTCTATCGTTGTTATCGATTCTTGTGGGACTCTACACGATACAAAAAAACCCGATATTTTTGTTCATAAACGTTTTTACAATTAATCAAAATTATCATTTTTTTACAATGGCTTAATTATCAAGAAAAATAATTCATACTGAAAATAATTACGGGAAAAAATTAGGGAAAAATTAATCATGTTGAACAGTGTAACTATCGATAACAGAGAGTGGTTATCGCCACCGCCACCAGCTGTTTGGCTGCGCAGAAAAAACGAAGACTTCGTTTTCTTGTTATTGTTGAAGAAATTAATAAAATTAAAATTATTGCGGACATTACAGCGGCAATTACAAACAGGATGGGCAATCAACTGGTGGGCATTGCCCCGTCGCAGATTTATGCGGTGGAGCACTACTTTTCCGGCCAGTTTGGATCCGAAATCACATTCAGTTCCAAGTGAGTGAAAAGGGGGGCATTTCCACAGGAAAATTGTTGACACCCACGAATTTTGATTTTCCACAGCATGGGCAGCACGCGATTCTTCAAAGTGGCCAAGGCAAAAACGGATGAGGGTCAGATAGTGGTCAAGGTGTTTGTGAAGCACGATCCCACGTTGCCGCTGGAGGATCACAAGGAGCGACTGGAGGGAATCAAGAAGACACTTTCGCTGGCCAATGCCGTCAATTGTTTACCCTTTCAACGAGTTGAGGTTTGTTAAACCCATTTTTCATCTATTACATCAAGAAACATATGGTTATATCTTATAACTCATATAGAATACAATCCAATCAAATGTTCCTTTCGTAAGTAATTAAGGTTATCTATACTTTTATTGAGTCATCGAATTCTATAATTACTTGTTTCCATATTCTGATAAAATGATGAATGTTCAAGAGAAGAATTGTATCTTAGAACCTTAAAGGCTTTACTCAAAGCTTAAGTCATGTTCATAATGTTACTAGTTAACTTTAATACCACTATAACTCTATTAATTCTTTCCTATTTTCAGCTAATTGACAAGGCAGCCTATATAATGAGGGATATGTTAAGCACAGTCTTTATGATCGCGTGTCCACACGCCCCTTTCTCACTGTTTTGGAGAAAAAGTGGATCACGTTCCAGATTCTGTGCGCCCTGAACCAGTGCCACAAACAGAAGATCTGCCACGGAGACATCAAGCTGAGAATATCCTGATCACCTCTGGAACTGGATCTCCTCTCAGACTTTGCTTCCTTTAAACCCACTTACTTGCCGGAGGACAATCCGGCGGACTATACGTACTTCTTCGATACGAGTAGAAGGCGAACCTGCTACATTGCCCCCGAGCGATTTGTCAAGACACTGGCTTCGGATGACGATGGCGGCAATGGCAACATGTCGGTCATTCACACCGACTCCATCATTCGACTGGCACCCAGTTATGCTGGAAATACTCTACTACCAGCCATGGACATCTTCTCAGCGGGCTGCGCCTTGCTGGAACTCTGGACGGAGGGAACTGCGCCCTTTTGAACTCTCCAGCTACTGGCCTACAGGCGTGGTGAGCGGGATCTGGTGGAGAAGCATTTGGCTGGCATCGAAAATGAGAGGCTACGCAACCTGCTGGCCTCCATGATCGACATCCACTCAATGAACCGAAGAGCGCCGAGGATTACTTGGATCAGGAGCGCGGCCAGCTGTTTCCCGAATACTTTTACTCCTTCCTGCAATCGTACTTGCAAATGTTCTCCTCAACACCGATAATGTCACCGGATGACAAGATCCAGTGTCTGCACAAGGACATTGGGCACTGCATCAAGGTGCTGACACAGGCACAGGATGTGACCCCGGAGGAGGAGGATAAGGATGGTGAGCAGGAAAAGAAGGATCCCACGTTGTGTGCTCGACTGCCACCGGAGCATGATGGTCTCATTCTGATCATTACTGTGGTCACATCCTGCATTCGCGGTCTCAAGCAGTCCAACACTAAAATTGCTGCCTTGGAACTGCTGCAAAAGTTTCGAAGTACACCACTTCCGAGACCATCTTGGATCGCATATTGCCCTACATTGTGAGTGCTTTTGTGCGCAATGATTTGTATCGTTAAACTTATCCTCATCATCTTTTTCAGCTGCACTTGGCCAGAAATCACCAGCCAAGGTGCAAGTTCAGGCCATCGAAACGCTGACCGCCTGCCTGGGCATGGTAAAGGACATTCCGCGCAGCGATGCCAATGTTTTCCGGAGTACATCCTTCCTCCATACTGACTTGGCCAGCGATCGAGTGCCGTGATTGTTCGCGTGGCTTTGCCCGGAATATTGCTGCTCTGGCAAAAGCGCTGTCTATTTTTGGAGGAGACGCAGCGAAATGCTCCGAATGACATGCCCACTCCGCGCTACGAGGCGGAGTTGAATGCCCTCATGATATAGTAAGACAAGCGGTACTGAGTCTGCTGACGGATTCCCAACCGGTGGTTAAGCAAACTCTGATGGAGTCGGGCATTTGCGATCTGTGCGCGTTCTTTGGCAAGGAGAAAGCCAACGATGTGATACTCTCGCACATCATGACCTTTCTGAATGACGAGGACAAGAATTGAGGGGAGCTTTCTATGACAACATCGCCGGAGTGGCTGGCTATGTGGGCTGGCAGGCGTCGATATATTGGTGCCCCTTTTGCAGCAAGGATTTACGGATCGCGAGGAGTTCGTCATAGCAAGGCCATACGTGCAGTGACCATTCTATCGAACTGGGTCACATCAAGAAGCCGGCGTCACGGAAATTGTCCAAGAGACGGCTGTTATCTGTGCCATCCTAATCTTTGGGTTCGTCACGAGATCTGCGGCATGATCGCCACCACTGCTCGAACCTCAGCGCCATCGATGTGCAGTGCAAGATTATGCCTGCGATTGGCGCTTTTCTCAAGGCGCCGCTTATCCAGGTGGAGAAGCCCAAATCCTACTGGACTGTGTGCATCCACCGGTTCCGCGGCAGATCTTCGACAGCGTGCTCCGCTTCCAGGACATCCACAGTTTTCTTAGAGCGCTTGAGGACCGATCCAGAGCTCGGAACCAGGCCAGACAAGGAGCTGTGCCGCAGTTCGAGGAGATGGGCAGACCCTAAGGAACGTGAGTAGTTTTTCTTATAATTCGATTAAAATTATCTAAATAGTTCTATTCGTTTGCAGCTTTTTAGACGCTAAGCTCTGAGGGATTGACGGATCTAATCGAAATGCAGCTGCTGGCCATGAACCCTTTCCTGATCTCCATGAAGCACAAGTCCCTGCAGGATCTGGACGACACTACCTCTGGCAACGGACGCATTGTGGTCACGCGCAAGCAAGTCGCTTGTCATGAATATCCGCTGGCGGACAAAATCACCAAAATGCCCCTAGAGAACCGTAAGTATATGATTTCTTTTCCGTGCTTCATGTTCATTAAGTACAATCGGGTATTTACAAGTCACTAAATTATTTCAAATTCATTTAACTTTTTTGTTTTAAATTCCAAAGTACTCTTAATCTATTGTACGAATTTCTCAGCTATTTTTAGTTCCGGATTGTGGGAATTTATACGCTGAAAAATAAAATATCCAGAGACTTTCATGTTTTTGGTTATCACTTCTGAAATTATATTTTTTTCTTAATACCTGACTCGATATTTATAAAATCACTAGAGAATTATACGAAATAAAACTATATTTTCCGTCTAATTTCTAATTTATGTATTTTATTTTTAAATATAATAATGTTATATGGTTTTCAATAGTTAAATTAATTAAAAATCATTTTTGATACTAATAACTGATACCTTTTCAGGATCCAGCGAGGGACCAACAATGGTATCGCCCGCCTCGGATGCAGCGAACACTCCGCTGGGAGCCGGGGGAATGGCCGGAAGTCCTGCCTCTGGAGCTGTGGTTCTTGGCGTGCCAACGGCCACTGTAAGTGCGGCCACCTCACTGGGTGAATACACGATGCCGGAGCGAAACTGCTGGCTGGAACGCTCCTCTGAGTGCCGCAAGGATCTCGAATCGCTCACGGCCAAGATCAAGAGGCGCTACAATGTGCTGGCCATCTCACAGCGCTGTAGTTACGACAAGCTTGTGACGCCCTACCCACCTGGTTGGCGGATGAACGGCACCCTGGTGGCCCATCTGCACGAACACTCGGAGTCGGTGATCAAGCTGGCCTCCTTGCGTCCCCACGGCTCGCTCTTCGCCAGCGGCAGCATAGACGGCACGGTGCGGCTGTGGGATTGCAGCAAACTCAATGGGAATCAAGGGGTGAATAAGTCGAGGCAGGTTTATTCGGCCAATACGCCCATCTACGCCCTGGCCGCCTGTGATAGTGGACAATCGCTAGCGGTGGGCGGCAAGGATGGCAGCATTCTGATGATGCGGATCGATCGCAACTCCGCCAAGATGACGCTCCAGCAGGCCCTGAATCAGAAGTAAGATGGCATAATAAACTCATTGGTTGTTATTTAATATATCCTCTCACAATTAAAGTGATCATAAAGATGGACCTGTTGTGGACATGCACGCCTACGATCAGGCCACGCAAAGTGTCATCGTGTACGCCACGCTGTACGGCGGCATTGTGGCCTGGGATACACGGATGCAGCACAGCGCCTGGCGGCTGCAGAACGAACTCCGGCACGGGGTGATCACCACCATCTGTGCGGATCCCACTGGCTCTTGGTTGGCCACCGGAACGAGTGGCGGTAACACATCTGCTGGGACCTGCGCTTCCGTCTGCCCATTGCCGAGATCAAACATCCGGCTGATTCGTGGATACGCAAAGTGGCCTGCCATCCCACGGAGCCTTCGTATCTCATCTCCGCCTCGCAGTCGAACAACGAGGTGTCTGTATGGAACATAGAGACGGGTCAGCGCCAGACGGTTTTGTGGGCCAGCCCGGTGGCGGCTTTATCCAGCGCCAGTCCCAGTGATCCTGCCACCACGTGCGGCATCCTCAGCGGAGTGGTCGATGGTTCCCCCTTCATTCTCACCGGCAGCTCGGATCAGCGCATCCGGTACTGGGACATCGCCAATCCTAAGAACTCCTCGCTCAAGGTGCCGGCTGCCAATGACAATCTGGCCGATGTGGCCTTCAACTACGGGTAAGTAATGTTATATTATAATAATTATTTTGTAATACAACATATTTAAATGTGTAAACCATCTTCCAGTGCCCGCTTAATCGATGGCAGTCAGGTGATTGAGGAGCAAATCATTTCCATGGCCAGTACTGGCGACTCACAGCAGCTGCGCTCCTCCACGGAGGAGAATCCCCGCTCTGGGCCGGACATGCCCACGGCCAGTCACCACGACGCCATCACGGATCTGCTGATGTGCAAGGACAAGGGCCAGATCTACATAGCCTCGGCATCGCGAGACGGTGTCATCAAGCTGTGGAAGTGAGCGCCCGCTTAATAGTATTTAATTATTCAACTGTGATTAGCCTAATAAACTGCAATATGTCTAACTATTAAATAAACAGTTGCTTGTAAACTGTGGTCTAAAAAGCTGTATGTTAATTGTGGTTCTATGGTTAAAATTTAGTGTACTTCTATATTTCTCTTTAAAATGTTTCGGGCCATAAATCATAAAAAATAAGTAGTATACATTTAATTTTAAATAAATATAATCATTTAAAGTTCGGAATGATGAATTTTCTTCTAGTAAGCCAGGAGTCAAAAGTTTTTGCTTCAAATGTTTGTAAGGTTTCGCTTCTGTCATGTAACAGAACTTAACTTCCTTCGATCGGACAAGTAGAAATCAAAGTTAGTTTTTGTTTCTTAAATTTTTTGGTGGTTTTTTAATTTTTTTAAACCAAAATGAGATTTTAAAAAACATAATATTACAATTCATGATTCACGTTGTGTTTCATAAAATCGTTGTTTTGTGTTTTTTTTCTTCGTTTTAAAATTTACTTGGAAATATAAAACAAAAGACGCCATATAAGGATTGTAAGTATTACTCAGAATAATTGTTCAATTTTGGATTTAATTTTTTAACAATACATAATTATAACGAAATATCATAACCACAACATTTAAAACTCATATTTGAATGTTCAACGGTTTAACAGTGTTGTTAACCATCGTCGAACGTAAAAAGCGAGATAAAAGATTCTGACCTTGCTCTCCGAAAAGAGAGCGTGAGCGGTCCTACCTTTTCCTTTAGTATCCGGGATTAGAGATGGAAAACATCGATGTTGGCTTGCCAAACATCGATTACCGTCGATGTTACCGACGCTTTGAAAACATCGATGACATCGATGTTAAAATCGATGTTTCTCACCTCTACTAGCGTGCGCGTATTTTACAATTAAAAAAAATTGGCGAAGCAAGTAAGTAGCGCGGGGCGGCCTTTCGCGGCTCTACAAAAAACTGTAATTTTCCAAGAATTTTTCACAATTTTTTTGTGTTGCACTATCACGCATTTAAGCAAGCAATTGATATTGTTTTCTGCATATTTTTCCAGCTTGATTTTCGGCAAACAAAAAGCGAAGAAGAAGAGGCAAGCGAAAATAAGTAAGCGTGTGTGTGTGCGTCTCGAGAGCGAGCCGAAGAGCGAGCGTGTTTGTGTATTTTGCACCCAACGAAAGAGAGCGAGAGAGACGAAGCTTGTGCTCGTGTGTGTGTGTGAAGGGACGCCGCTAAAAAAGGCGCAGAAAAGAAAAGATCCGAAGAAGGATTTTCTTTATTCGTTTGCTAATTAAATACCGGCCAGAAAAAACAGGAAAAATGGAGGAAGTTGCAGTAAAGAAACGTGGCCGACCTCCAAAGGCAGCCAGCGGTGGTGGATCCTCCTCAGCGGCGGCGGCGTCGGCGTCAGCTTCGCCGGGCGCCAAAAAGCGCGGTCGTCCCGCCAAGAACAAGGGATTGAATTTATCAAGCGGCGGCGGAGGAGGTCAGCGGGGTCGTCCGCCCAAGGCGTCCAAAATCCAAAACGACGACGATCAGGAGAAGGACGAGGATGAGGAGGAGGAGGGCTCCGGCAACGAGCTGGCCAACAAAACCTCTCCCTCCCCCTCCCCCTCGCCGCCGGCCAAGGGCAGGGGTCGTCCCAGGAGCATTGGCGGCGGCGGCGGTGGTGGCGATTCGGCCAAGTCGCCTGGTTCCGCCAAAAAACGCAAGGCCGGGAGGCCCAAGAAGCACCAGCCCAGCGATAGCGAGGAGGAAGGCAAGTACAAGAGTCTACATTCCTATAATAACCCTAAAGAACCCAAGTACAGTAGTACTTAGCATCCAAAATATATGTTTATATATATTATAACACGCTTATCCTATAATTTACTCATATATCCCATGTACAGCAGTACAAAGTCTACAATCCCATAACAACCCAATTGAAACCATGTACAGTAGTGTTACTTAACATATAAAATGTATCTTTCCATACCAACAACACATACCCCTTTACAAACTTGACGTTATAATACGCATATCCTATAATTTCCACATGTGTCCCAAGTACAGCAGTCCAAAACTTTGTGGCATACGCATATTTGTTTTTATTGGGTTTCCTGAAGTACATATGTTCATAATAACATAAGAATTTGACATTTTTCTTAGCAAAAGAAAAACTGCAAACACGTCTTCAACTTTCAAGCGCAATAATCCCTTTGTAGGACGGCCCTCCAGTTTCATTACGCATTTAAGTAGGTACAGTGTGTATCCAATATGCAAAGTAAAAGTAAAGTAGAAATGAGGTTAAAACAAAATGTATTAAGAAGTCATAAATCTTTATAACTAAATATTTATTTTTCAATTATAACTCCCAAAGTGATAATGTCCTGAAAAAAGTACAGATTCCACTCTTTTTGTCGATTGCGTTCAGAAAGCAAATATAGGTACGCCGGGTAAATCGCGTACAGCGCAGTTTATTTTCATATGTTTACTTCTGCGTATCTTCGAAATCTTCACATATTGGACCGTCCCGTTTCAAACTATGGGTTCTTGTTTGTTTTTTTACACTAACTCATACCTTTATCTCGACGCTACCTGGGGATTTTCAAAGACCTCCAGGTAGACTTTAGGTGCCTACCTTCGGAATTTGCTCTGCAAGAACCTTTTGATAGAAACTGTCCTTACAAAATAAGTTTAGGTGTTGAATTTGAATATAATCAAAGTCAAGGCTAAACTATTTATTTGATTTATTAACATATATGTAGAAGTAGAGCATTTAATGTTTTCCAAGTCGTGAACAGCCGTTAGAACTAACAAGTGGTCTAAAATTATTAAGTAAATATTCTTAACTAGAATCAAAAGAAAAACTCCAATGCAATAATAAATTAAATTCAAAAAAGGTTTTATGAGATTTAAAAAAATAAATGCCTTAAGATATGTTTATTTTAGAATAGTTCTCAGCAATCGACAAGTTCTTTGAAACAGACCTGTACAACGCTGAAAATAAAAGGTTTTCTGGTAATAAAGTTTCGTTAGTTTTTTCTAACATGGTAGAATTTTTTTATTATTTAATTTTCTGTTCCACGAGTTATATTTAATTTCTGACTTTGCCCTTTCACCACAGACAACCGGGATGACGACGATGATGATAGCAGCACTGAGGAAAGTCGTCCGGTAGGCCGGCCATCCACTGGATCCGTCAACCTAAACATATCGCGATCGGGACGCGGCCAGGGAAGACCCAAGAAGCGGGCACAGGGTGACGAGTAAATGGCGATGGTGATGGTGATGATGAGCCACCAGTGCCCAAGAAGCGCGGTCGTCCGCCACAGAACAAGTCGGGCGGCAGCAGCGGTGGCAGCACCGCCTACGTGCCAACCGGTCGTCCACGCGGTCGCCCAAAGGCCAATGCCGCTCCCGCCGCCGAGAAGCAGGTGGCCGAAGATAATGGCGATGATCAGGACGACGATAACTCCGTGGAGGAGGTGCAAACCTCGCCGGAGAAGACGGCAGTGGCGCCAAAGAAGCGCGGTCGTCCCGCTGTCACCCCCAGCAAGTCGGCCAAGGAGGGAACTCCCAAGCCACGTGGTCGCCCATCCAAAGCCACAAACGATGATGAAGATGATGCCGATTCCACCGAGGGCGAGCACAACAACAGCAAGAAGGAGTCGAACGAAGAGGGACGTCGTCCGGATGGCACACCAACCAAAGGAGATGGCCTCAAGTGGAGCTCCGATGGCGACAATGATGGCAACGAGGAATATGTTTCGGATGTCTACAACGATGCCGAATCGGTGGCTGCCTAAAAATTAAAACAAAACAAAAAACATTTCCATACCCAACCCATCCCTTAAAGTCAACACAAAATGAATATTGAAAAAAAAAAGAAAAACCCATTATCTGCGAATAAGAAATGAAACCTTAAGCACGAAATAAGACCACAAAATACAAAAAAACCAGGACAGGAACTTCTGGACTTTCGTGAACCTTCCCATCCTTAAACAACAAACATTAACTACATACATATTCCGATTTATTGCTGAGAAAACGGAAAGACGTTTGCCGCACTCCTCTGTAATGACGTGTAATTTGGAAAAACGATTTCTAATTTGATTGCAATTTTCAAATAAATAACATATATGTATTAGAGTAGTTCAAAATGTTTCTGTTTTGCGGGGAAGGCTCCAAAGAAGACCATTTAATTTTTACGGAATAAATTCAGTTAACAAGTAATTTGAGTTGATTGCAGCTATTTCAATCGTTTACAAATTTAAATAAACGTATTAGACCTAATTGATATTTTATTTACAGGTGCTTAGGTAGGGTTATGAACAATATTGGAAATTTCATAAGGGAGAACGTCTGTTAAATATACCTACTATTAAAAAGGAACCGGTTTGTAAGCTCCGATTGAAAGCTGTTGATTTAAAAGATTCTCTGTGCGCGCTGAAACTTGTTAGTTTAAGTGAGTATCTGTTCCAATAGCTTCAATACTTTATTAATTATAGTCGGCTAAGTAGAAAACATAGTGTTTTGGTGTAGAATCTATTTAACTGTTTATACTTTTCCATCATTCCGGAATATCGAATCGCTACTCGTTTTTACAACGTAGAAATCCAAACCCAACGTCCCTTTCGTTTTTTATTCACGTGAGTATAAATCCAAGTCTCATCTCCGTGATCATGAATTTAGCTTGTCCAAACGACTTTTTTTTAAGAAATTGAGCTGCTTAGTCGAATAATCGTTTGGTAAAGCGTTAATATATTGCTGATAATGATATTGACATGAAATTTAGCCCAGGTCAAAAAGTCCTGCTAACTCAAGAAAAAAATAACTAGCCCGAAATGTTAATCCCTCAAAATTTAAATTAAAAATTCAACTAACTGCCCACAGTAGTATCCGGTGGTGAGTATGCTCAAATCTGCGCAAAAGTACGGTCACACGCAAATGTTACGAGGGTGTCTCGGCTATCACTGCCAACCTTTTGTGAGACCGTTCTGTCGGTATATACCAGGAAAATACCGGACTTACAAACGAGATTTAATTAGCGGTCACACGCAAATAACAGGTTGGTGTCTCGGCTATCGCGGCCAATTTTTGATGAGACCGTACTTTAGCGCAGATTTGAGTACCAAAGTATCCGAAAAATGCTTAGAGAGTGATGGTATATTTGAACAGTCGCGCTGCTGCCTTACTAAATGTTCGCGCGTAAGAAGAAGCAGACCTAGAACGGCGTGCTTGTAATATGTAAATTTTTCAAATAAGCTAAGGTGTGTGTGCCCAACAACGATAAAATATGAAAATAGTTTAAAGACTGCTACCCTTTAATGATAATTCGAAACTTATTTGAACAACGCCACTCGGCAGTATATAAGAACAAAATATGCGGCTGCAAAAAGAATCAAAAACTGATAAAAAAAAAAAAGCCGCAAACAAAAACAAAACAAACACTCTGGTGTGTGTGTATGTATGCGCGAGTGTTCGGCTGTTTGTGCGGCTGTGTGTGTTTGTGTGCGTCTGGCGTCTAATCAAATTTGGCATGCCCCTAAAATCGATTGATAAATAATATATAAACAATTTGGCCGGCGCAGCGTAATTCATTTGCCAGGGTGAAGAATGAAGAGAACTGGGGATGATAAAAGAACAGGAAAATGTGTAATCAATTTATATAAATATTTTGCGCGCATGTTAATAAAAGTAAAATAAATTGTCGGTCTTTTGTGCTCACACCCCCGCTCTCTTTGAGCATGCTCACTCGCTCTCTCTGTTGATTTCGCACGTTTGCCAACACTGCCCTCCTTTTGGGGTTCTTGTTCTCTGCTCTCTCGCTCCTTGTTGTAGTTGTATTTGGCCAGTGTGTCTTTGCATTTCGCTTTTATTATCGTTTTCGGACGGCGGCGACGTTGAAGAAATTCCTGGCCGATTTCTTCTTCATCATCCTGTGTAAATAATTGTAATTTAAATATTCTAAATTTCGTATATAACGAGAGCACACACACACTCACACCATCGAAGGAAATGCAAATGCGAAGGCTTTTTTAAGTGCATGTGTAAGTGTTTCGGAACGAAGGAAGAAAAGAATGCCAAAAAACCGTAAATTACTCCTGTTTCATTTTACATTGTCATCATCGGGTCTCCTTTTCCACTACGGCGGCATGTGTATGTGTGTGTATTTCCAGACCGCTTTTTGTATATATGTATGCAAACATGTATAAATAGTTTGCGAATTTACTTAGTATATTGGCCGAAAAAGGTAAAAATCAATTAAGTGTGTGCCTGAATAATTGATATGATTCCTGTTTCTTTTTTGTGTTGCTGAAATATTTTTCCGATTGTGCGTGTGTGTGTTTCATTATTTCCTTATTCCATCGTGTTCTTCCTTTTGAGCGGCGGCCATTTGGCTGCTCTGCTTCTTCCTTCTCCCCGCCGCCCCTTCCACCCTTGCCTGTGTACGACTGTGTGTGTGGGTAAGTGCGTTCGCTCTCTCTCTCGGGACGCCTTGCATTTGTATATACGTGCTTTTCCCAATAAGAATGCCTAACTACCAACTAAAGTATTAAACAATTCGATGGGTTTAATTATTAATTATTTATTGGCCGCGCCTCCTTTGTTTTGTCAGCCATCTCTTTTATGGTTTATCTTTATGTTTGTTTTTATATTCCCGAGCGTGCTTGTGGGTGTGTGCGTGTTTCCAGGGGCCCCAGCATTCGCTCTCTCTCTGTCCCTCTATCCCTTTTCGCATGCTGCACTTGTCTCTCCGCGAAGAGAGTCGTTTTGACGGGGGGTACGGAAAAGGGAGAAAAGGGAGATGGAGATTCTCGTAAACAACCAAAAAAAAAAAAACCGACCCACTCGCATTCTTCTCGCTGAAAACGTAACCTCAAATGTTTGCGGCCGCCTTTCGCCTTCGTCTTCGTTTCGTTTTCTTCGCCATTCGTTCTGTCGCATTCGCTCATCGTCTGCCGGCATCGTTGTTGTTGCTGTTCTTGTTGTTTCTGCTCCTCTGTGTGTATGTTAATTTTATGTGTTTTCCATTTTCAACCGCCCCTCCCCTCACGCCCCACCACCCCCCGCTTTTCACCGCTGTCTTTGCGCTTTTGCTTCCCTTCGCGGGGGGCGCTTAATTCCGTCCAGAAGTTTGCCTAGAACCAGATATATATTTTTCAGATCGCTATGTTACCTATTTATTAGTGTTGTAAAACTAAAGTCTCTTCATACGTTTCAATTAGAATCGATATTATTGTGATCATTAAACCGAAGGATTAATTAGATCCCAAATATTTGAAATCTTCCTTTATTAAGAAAAGTGGAATTTAGTGTTTTTGTATATTGTCATAACTACCCGATGTATCTCCAGATATATCTTTTAGAGCGTAAAAATTAATTATTTAATTTTTGTTAATTTGATATATTATAAATATTTGCAAAAGTTTTTTAATATTACATATTTAATAATCGAAATTGTTAAACGGATTAATTATATGACTATGTATAATTAAAAGACTGATTTTATTTTTATTTTTTATCACTTCCCCAGTTCTACGAATATAAAATTTCCAGAATCTAGAATTTGTAATTCCCAAATTTAATTAAGTTTTTCATTTTTAATAAGTCAATACTAATAATATATAATTCGGTTTTGACTTCTTTGTATCGCTAAAACTGAGTCAAGCAAAAGTTAAACCTTGAATCTATTTTCTATCGACGATAAACTTAAAAATGCAACATAAAATGCTTTCTTATCGTATGTCACCTTTTTGTTACAATATTAAAGCACCCACTGATATGGTCTATAAAAAATAAGTAGTTTAGAAAATAACTGCCTGATATACAATAGCATTTAGAAATTCCTAAATTGTCCATATTTTACTTGTAATGCTTATATTTTATATTAATTTATTATTATTAATATATTCTATTGGTTCTCCAGTTTTATTTCGATTTTAAGGGTATTTCACCAGTCGGTTTACAAAGAAAGCTAATTTCATTTTCCGTATTTTTCGCGCATGATTCAGCTTTGCGTTGTTCTATGGATAGTCTTCTTCTTTGACTTGTTCTTGGGGCTCCTGTTCCCCAAACGACCCAGCCCCCTTTTCCGCCCCTTGGCATCGACTTTGTTATTGTTTTCGTAATGAGGAAATCATGGCTAGTATTTGTCTTACTTGTCTTTCGGTTTTAGAAGAATTTGTTTTGCTTTTATTCGCCCCTTGTGCGCTTTATTTTGTTGATTATTATTATGCGCCCAGTCTGCTGTCTGTGTTATCGGATTCTTTTCTTTACCATGACCAGCTCAAAGTTTTTAATCGCACACAAAGGTACAGTGGTTCAAGAGTCCTTCATATGCGAACAGAAACCTACCTTATCTTGCAATGAGGCACTAAAAATAATATGCCTTCATTATGATTCGATATTCTATGTAAAAAAAGCCCGAAGTTACTAATCACATTTTCCATTTGTATTTCTCATTGCAGTTTGTGTATATTTTCATCATTAAAACGTCGTGTAAATTAAAATTCATCCTAATTATAATTAATAAACTACATTAATAAACGGAAATTCCACAATTCTCAAAAATAAATCTGTAAAAATTCAAGTTTTAACCAATTCTCATACGTAATTAAATAAAAAAAAGTTCAGTTTTGTTAAGTCCCAAGAAACAACAGCTGTGCAACTGTGTAAAATATTATTCATAATTTTGTGTAAATTTATGTAAAAAAAAAACCAACCACGACAACCAAACCAAACGAAGAAAATTAATTTTTTTTTGAGCAAAAAGTGTGTGAAAAATCTCAGCAAAGCCTGTAAAATAAATGTTAAATAAATTAAGCAAAAAGTGTGGTTTCTTTTACAACAACAAACAAGTGCAAATCTAAAGAGAAAATTTCGAAAAATAACAAGTAAAAACATTTGTGAATATTTCAAAACTACGAATCGTGTGTGTAGTCTTTTGTGTGGTTTTAAAAAGTATCCAATCCAATAAAAGTTGGCAATACGCGCAAAATTGTCAGCTGCGATAGCTAGGAAAAGCCTCCAAAATTGAGCTCCTAAGCGCGCCCACAATTGCCATATCGACGCCCTCGCCGCAGCAGCAGCAGCAGCAGCAACATCAACAGCAGCAGCAGCAGCAACAACAGCAGCAGCAACTCTATCAGCAACACCAACAGCAGCAGCAGCAACATTACGGTCCACCACCGCCCTACTTTCAACAGCTACACCAACAGCAGCAACAGCAACATCAGCAGCAACAGCAACACCAGCAGCAACAGCAACACCAGCAGCAGCAACACCAGCAACACATGAAGTTTCTGGGTGGTAACGATGATCGCAATGGCCGCGGAGGCGTCGGCGTTGGCACGGATGCCATTGTGGTAGGATCTCGCGGTGGCGTTTCCCAGGATGCCGCCGATGCCGCTGGTGCCGCCGCAGCCGCCGCCGTCGGCTATGTCTTCCAGCAACGTCCATCGCCTGGCGGTGTGGGCGTGGGCGGAGTGGGTGGCGGGGTGCCCGGAGTGGGTGCCGTGGGCTCGACCTTGCACGAGGCCGCTGCCGCCGAGTACGCCGCCCACTTTGCCCAGAAGCAACAGCAGACGCGATGGGCGTGCGGCGACGACGGCCATGGTATTGATGTAAGTATTACAGATCTTAAAATATCCATTTTCGAGTCCTTAATTGAGGTTATGTAGCAACGATCGGCATGCAATACTAGGATACTTTTTGTTTTATTTTTGTGAGTAGCTGGTACACTGTTTGTGTGGCGGCAAGGAACGAGCTAAGCTATTCCCGCTTAATTAAAGGCTGCCGAACACTGCTTTATAGCATTCATTTATTGATTAAATAAAATAGAGAACCAATTAGTTGAACTTTTGTTGCTTTTTTGTTAATAATTTTAAATCAATTTAAAGAATATTTTAAGATAAGTTTTTAGATTGGGAATTTATCTAATCTACGCTTTCCAACATAACTAGCTATTAACTGTATTTTTTGGTCTAGCTAAAACCAACAATAATTCCAATGTAGAATTTAATATTACGTTTCCAACGGCAAATTAAATTCAATGTTTCCCCGCACTAATTTATTTTTTTAATATTCCTTTAAATTTTAAAACTTTATCTTTGCTATTCATTTTAATAGAGACTTAGGTAACATTCAAATAAATAACATTATTCCCAAAAATATATGGTTATTCAATGCAATTAGCATCGATTGCATTTGCGCAATTAGCATCAGATGGCAATTTTCATTTTGCTCCTTTTTTACTCTTTCTCTTCTGTTTTGGAATTTGGTAATTTTGTTGTGCTGCTTCTTGATTAAATTTCGCGGCTTCTCCATTTGGGGGTTGCCCCATTTGACCTCCGCAGATTGTATAAGTTGCAAAGGTCGGTGTCTGCCAAAATGGTTGCATAAACAGATTATCACAATTTGGCATTGGAACAGCAGCCAATGAAATTGCACCAATTGGATAGCAAAGGCTAAGGAGATTAAATTGTAGAAGAAGAGGAGTTATTGATTAAGAAAGAAGATTGGTTTATTTTTGTCTCGTGATTTATTTGTTTATTGAGAAAATTATCTTCCTTTGAACAGCATTAGATAAACCATAGATGTGAATTATCGACTGTGTTTTGAATAACATAAAAGCTTAAACATAAATATAAAACTAATTAAAGCAAAGCTAGACTAGACTAAAATTGGAATAGCATAGTTATTTACAAAATAATCAGCATTTTAATTATGTTAAATAACAACTTAAAGTTTTTGTAAAAGTAAATTTAAAAACCTCTAAAAAAATATAAATCATTTAACAATTAAAAACTATACAATCTAAAAGTATAATCTTAACCGATTGTTTATCTCTGTGTCCTAATTTCAGAACCCGGACAAATGGAAGTACAATCCGCCGATGAATCCGGCCAATGCAGCCCCTGGCGGACCGCCTGGAAATGGCAGCAATGGTGGTCCCGGCGCCATTGGCACCATTGGCATGGGCAGCGGATTGGGCAGCATGGGCGGCGGTGGAGGCGGCGGCGGAGGTGGTGGCGGGAATAATGGAGGATCCGGCACGAATGGCGGTCTCCATCATCCGTCGATGGCCGCAGCAGCGGCCAATATGGCCGCCATGCAACAGGCGGCAGCGGTGGCCAAGCACAATCACATGATGTCACAGGCAGCAGCCGCCGCAGCAGCTCAACAGCAGCAGCAACATCAGCATCCACACCAGCAACATCCCCAGCAGCAGCAGCAGCAACAACAGCAGCAGCAGCAGGCTCAGAATCAGGGGCATCCACATCATCTAATGGGCGGTGGCAATGGACTGGGCAATGGCAACGGCCTGGGAATCCAACATCCCGGCCAGCAGCAGCAGCAGCAACAACAACAGCAGCAGCAACAGCAACATCCCGGCCAGTATAACTCGAATTTGCTCAACCATGCCGCTGCCTTGGGTCACATGTCGTCTTATGCCCAATCGGGCGGCAGCATGTACGACCATCATGGTGGAGCCATGCATCCGGGAATGAACGGGGGCATGCCCAAGCCACCGCCACTGGGTCCTCCAGGAGCCGGAGGTCCACAGGACTATGTCTACATGGGTGGCCAGACCACTGTGCCCATGGGCGCCGCAATGATGCCGCCACAGAATCAGTATATGAACAGCTCCGCTGTTGCAGCTGCCAATCGGAATGCAGCGGTGAGTAATAGGTTAATTTTCTTGGCTTCAATGATTAATCCAGTGAATGTGGGCTAGATACTAAATGAGAACAGAAAGGGAATATCTCTGAGTTAAATAAGGCAATCGGTTCGGTTAGGAATAGGCTACTAATCAATCACTTTTATTGACCTTTAATGCAACAGATAAGTGATGAATAGATAAGCTAATTAGTAAACCTTGTTTGCATAGCAATAGATATTGATAGATGATAAATTAGGTAGAAGTTTTACAATACAAGCAATGAGTTACTGAAGGATAGTTCTTTTCTCCTTTCTCCTATCGTATCATCAATCTAAGTTACAATTATAGATGACTCATCTACATAAATATTATTGAGTCAAAAGCATGACAGCTTTCTTTTGCGGTTGTCATCACTTTCATGTGTCTTATTATTCAGCGTTATTCGATAAACTAAAAGTTGATAGTTGTCAATTAAATGCCCAAATACAACTCCAACGAATTATGAATTATAAAAAGTTATGGCTAAGTGGCCTTAATAGAGCTCTTACATGTTTAAATCGAAAGTTTATACCCAAATAAAAATTAAGTAGGCGAAACTTTAACCATTCAATTTCATTTGATGATATTTTCTTGTTAGATTAATCAATAATTTTGCTTAGCCTTTGTTTGTGGTTTTTATGGCTTTGCCCTTGTACTTTTCCAGTAGTTAGAACATTTGGGAAAACTTCGTTTCCATTTCCCAACTTTCTTTAGGCCTCATAAAATGATTGTTAGGCCATTACTAAGTTTGGATTTCTTAAAATAATAACTAGTTATAACTTGTTGGGAATAAATATTCTTTATAGATTCTTTGTGACCATATAAACGCGCAGAAGAGGACTATTTTGCTGATTCTACCATTCTTTGGTTTCTTGTTTGGCTCTTCACTTTTTTCTTCTCGCCGTCTGAGTTTCTTTATTCGTGTCTTTGCTGCACTGCTAATGGAGATAAATGTTGAAATATAGGGGAGTAGAAGAAAGAGGGGCGGGGCTGAGATACATAGATCCCATTCCGGTTGCAATATTTCAACCTTATAAAGCCAGAACATTGCACATGCCATGCCGCACAGACACACTCGCTCGGATACTCACACACCTGTCTACTCACCTGTCCGTCGGCCAATCTGATGACTTGAGAACTCGACTACTGCTGGCATTTTAGCCAGAAGCAACTACCTGCAATTTATAAACGAAAGAATTTAATACTGGGAACTAATGAGTTGTGATGCTGCTGCCCTGTGGAGTGCAGAAGTTCTCGTTATGTCACAATTGTTTATAGGAAATGCAATTTTAATTAAAGAATTTCACTCGACTCTGGTCCTTTGGTCCTCCACACCTGCCCGTTCTGTCTTTTTTTTTCTGACCTCTGCTCCAGGTGATCCCCCCTGTCACCCGGCACTGCAATTTCCTTTTCACTTCCTTCGCACACAATGCAGGGTTTTTATGGGCAAGTGTTGGTTGGCCCGCAATCGATTATGTTTTTATCAAGCAAATTGTCGTTTCGAAAGGGTTCTGGGTTATGTTGATGTCTAGATACCCTTTCTATAGGAATGGTTCGGTTTTTCTGAAGATATATATTGGGTTTTTAAGTGATTATGGTGATCTGAATGTTTCTTTTTCTAATTTACTATTATTATTTTACTTTTACAATTTTACTATTATATTAGTGCAAGAAATTAAGAAGTTTATTACTTTTCGTAAGAGAAATTATAGATTTCTTTATCTAATCTATATTAGTGCAAGAATTAAGAAGTTTATTTCTTTCGTAAGAGGAATTTATAGATTTCTTTATATAATCTATAACAGATCTTTAAAACATTAGTATGACCAAGTTTTTTAACCATCTCCATTTCGGTTTCAAAACAAAAAATTCTTGTATTTATTAAAAAAATACGAGACAAATTTAACCACTTATAACTTACCACAAACTTTACTTCTCGTGCCTTGACTTTTTGCTTCTTGTGTCACCCTTTATTTTTCTTCGGGTTTCTTTCCAACAACTTCCTTTTGTGCATATATTGTGCAATTTCTCTCTTTCTTTGCCCAAAGAGCCAACAGAATAGGAGGAAGAAAATATTTATTGCATTTATGCTAGGAGCAGAAGAAATACGGAGAACAGAATAAGGACCTCCTGGCAGGAGGCTTCCTTAAAAATAAACATGGAAAACTGAAGTCGTGCAAAGCAGAGCTTCAGGAAAGTTTATTGTTGTTTTTGCGTTTTCAGTTCCTTTGTTGATGTCCTTACTCTTTCCCCCGTTTTTCGCCTCCTTTTTGGCGTCTGGGCGCTGTTACTCTAGTTTTTTCAAGCTTACTGCTTTTGGTCCCCTCTCTTTATAACAGTAAGCTCTCGAAAATGGAATAATAATGCTGTGGGGTGCCGTTGGTACAGTAGTCCCAACCTTATTGGAATATTATAATGTATATTATATTATTCATAAGATGTTACGTATATCTGAGAGATTTATCTAAAATATTTTAAAAAATACAATAATCAAACAAAAAACAATAATCACAATCAAAAATGTGATTATCAAAGAACTTTGTTTGTTTAATTATTAAAAAGCATATTGCATTTTAAATCTAATACTATTTTTAAAGTATTTCCCTTAGAGTATTTACTGTAGTTGGACTACACTTGTTTGTGGGGGGTAAGGAATCACAATTCGTTAAACTCCTTGCATCCCTCTCGCTCTCTATCTCTCTCCTCTTTCTTTCACCGCCCCCCTTTCCCCCACCACCCTCTCTGCCACGTGCTGTCCCTCTCCCTCTCGCACCTCTCGACCAGAACTATCTCTCCGCTCTCTTGCTCCCACTCATGGCTTTGCGTGTGTGTTTGACGCGCTCTTGTTGATGTCGTAGGTCATTGATTTGCGCTTAACAGCCGGGCAGAACGGAATGGAATGGAATGGGATAAAAAGGGGAGCAGCAGACTAAAAAGAAAGATAGAGGAGGGGTGGTGGGATGAGGTGCGACAACGATTCTTCTGCGTGTTGTTGTTGCATTAAGTTTGCTCATTGTTTCACTTGCGTTGCTTTTTGTTGTTGCCCTGCATGTGGCGCATTCTGCTTCCTCTTCTGTTTCTTTTGCCCTTCCAAGCATTTGTCTTCTGCACAGTAAGAAAAATTTATACAAAACGATAATAGAAATCAGTTTTTAAATTGATAAATACATACGTAAATTTAAAATTATTAATTATAAATCTGAAAAAATCTCTCGTTACAAAAAATTGAAATAACATAAATTATTGATTTAAAAATCATTCAAAAAAATATATTTTTTCCGTGTATGCGGTGTTCTTATTACTTGCGTTTCTTTTATGTTGTCTCTGCTGCTTACTCATCCTCCGCGAATTCTCCTCCTCATCTAGTCCCTTCCTTTTTCCACCCAGTTTTCCCCTTTCCCGTACTCTCTTTCATGTTTTTTTGTTGCTTTTCCTGCGCGTAATGATTTATGTGTGTGTGCATGTGGAATTTGTCTCAGTGTGAGGCATCTGATTTTGAGCGCAGCTTTTTTCCCTCGTTTCGTTTGCGTTTTCTGGTTGGATAATGGGTTTCCTAATTGGAACATCTCTGTTAAGAAGCTTTTCGAGCATTGTTGATTGTTTTTGTTGTCCTCCTTTTCTTGTAGTTGTTGTTTTGTTTTTCCATTTGTTTAGAAAAAGCAAAAAAAGGTCAGCCAATTTGTTACTTCCTTTGTAAATTAATAATTAGATCAGAGCTCTTAGCGATCTTAATTTGTTTGTTTTTTGTATTTTTATCTTTAGTATTTGTTGATTAATATAATTAAAACCTTTAACCGTTTTAAAAACCTCAAGTTTAGAAATGACAACAATATAATGAGCAAATAATCTCAAGTGTCACAATGTCTAGAATTTTATTGAATTGTTGCCTTTTGAAGATAGCTTAAGTAAAACTGAATTTGATAATGATTAAATTACAAACCAAAGCTTTTAGCAAAGGTCGATTCAGAGTTTTTTTTAAAGTTCTAAAAGGGTTTTTTTTTTTCTTTTCCTCAATTTCTATTTGTCTTTTTGAGCATTTTTCCAGTTTGCTAGTGGTTGGACTTTTAATTCACGCCAACTTCTTTCTATTTGCCTTCTTTTTTGGCCCTGCTCTAGACTACATCCACTTCCTCCAGTTACCGCCCACCAACCCGCCGCCCATTCTCATAAACGTTTACGTTCTAATTGAACAAATGCCGCTCATTCAGCGCCTCCATCTCTCCCTCTCTCTTTCTCTTCTCCGGCTCTCCTTCTCTTGCCAATTAGCTGAAATGTTTGCAATTTTCCAACATCCAAGACGCTCCGCTTTGATGATAATGAAGGAAAATGTATGCGATTGTTGTTTTCCTATGCCACAGTGATACTTCTATTATAACCTAATCTAGATTCACAATATGTATTATGTATGAGACATTCGTTAATTGAATAAAGAAGGGCTGTGTCTGACATAAGCATAACAAGTTGATAAATGAGATAAGGTTATAAATTAAGGTATTCTTTAGGATTGGTCTAAGAAGTCGACGTAAAATGGCTTATAGTTATAGTTGTAGATAATTATTTTAGATCCGTGATTTAAAAGATTACAAATTTGGTTTATAGGTGTTGCACTGTAGCTTCTGCTGCTTGTGGCAAATGCAGCAACGCCAACTGCGCCGTCGACGTTAACTTCATCGGATTTGATTGATTTGCATTGCCGGCTAGACCTGGTTTAGTTTCTCTCTTTCTCGTTCTCTGCTGTACACTTCTCACTTGTGAGGTTATTGCTTTTTATTGTTGCCACATTTATCTGCCTTCTGGCACGTTTTTCTCGATTATCTCAACCGGGGTGGTCAGCTGAGATGGCAGCTGCTTCTATGCGTCACACCCTCGCCCAGCTTACTACGCTCACACTCATTTGCATTAATTAAATAAAGCATCTCAAATGCAGCGGCAAATTGTTTGACAATTTAATTTCGTTTTACTGTTTGACTTCGCTCTCC